CTGAGGCGGGACTAGAACTCCCCGTCTCCTGGTGATTGGCCCAAAGTCACCCAGTGAGCTCTCAGGCCCGAGACAGAACTAGAACTCAACATCTCCTAGTTTTGTACCTGCACCGCTACACCAAACCGGCCCTCTTCTCTTCTCATCCGTGGCCCCGAAGATGACGAAACATATTTCCCAGGGCTCACTGAGGACTAGCACCATGCGCAGGACAGAACGCAAAGTTTAGGAGGCCGGAAGCGGGACTCCTGTGGTCGGACAGCTCCTGCCATTGTTCCCTTATGAGTCTCGGTTTTTTGTGTGTGCGTGTTTGTGTGTGTGTGTGTTTGCGGGGGCGCAAAGCACCAGGGGCGGAATCCACCTCTGGAGGTTCATGCGCCCCCGCAAAACGCGCCTTGGGGGACCTGATGGGCCTTTTCTCCATTCCCGGCAGCTCCCCCCCCACCGGAACTTCTACCGGCTGATGAACACGGCGCTGGGCATCGTCCGTCTTTCCGGCCAGAGTTCCCTCTTCTGCCCGCTGTCGCTGAACGGAAGCCTGGGGCTCCGACCGGGCAGCCCCGTGGCCCTGCCGAACCTCCAGTACGAGGTGGGCGTTCGAAAAAGGCGACCCCGCTTCCCCCCCTTTGGAGCTGCCGAAGGAGGGCGGAGTGGGAGTTTTAAAGATGTTTTTATGATGCATTTTCCTTTCTAACACATCATGTTTTCAACGTTACATCGACATTCCGTCTTTTTCTTTCTCCTTTCCTCCCTTCCCTTCTCCCCTCCGCTTCCCTCTCTCCTTCTCCTCTCCCCTCTCCTTCCCTCTCTTCCCTTTTCCTCTCCCCCTCTCTTCTCCACTTCCCTCTCCTTCCCCCTTTCCTTCTCCTCCCCTCTCCTCCTTTTCCTTTCCTCCTCTCCCCTCTTCTCTAATTCCTTCTCCTCCCTCTTTCCTTCTTCTCCCCTCTCCTCCCCTCTCCTCCTTTTCCTTTCCTCCTCTCCCCTCTTCTCCAATTCCCTCTCCTTCCCTCTTTCCTTCTCTCCTCTCCTCCCTTTTCCTTTCCCCCCTTCGTTTGCCGGTCCCTCACAACATAACCGACTGAAGCAGCCGGCATCGCCAAACTTCCAAAACTTCAAATGATTTATTGAGAGTAAACATGCCGGCACTGCCTGGGTGTAGCCGACTCTGAGACACATCATTCATTGTCACCCTTGACCCTGGTTTTCCCCCCCCGCCCCCTGGGTGTATCATAATTCATATTCTCCAATGGGACACCTCCATAGCCCAGAGTCATCAATCAGGCTCTCCAGTTAGATATTTGCAAGGCAGAAACTTCAGTCATCTAGTTACTATCTTTGAAAACATTTATGGAATGCAGTTTCGATTTGCAAGCTGCCGCACTGCTCCTCCTTCCCTTTCTATTGCCAGCTCCAAATATTTTACGAGTTAACATCTATACTTAAAACCATTCCCGAATAAACTTTGCTTTTAAAACATCTCTGTAAAAGAGCAGAAACTTGTAATAATTTGTACAAATTCCCTCCAGCCGTCTCTGGATTATCACACGAGCGCCATTCTTGCCACCGCCCTGGACACGCTAACCGTCCCCTACCGGCTCCAGAACTCGGACATCACCATGACCAACCTGACCGAAACCCTGAATTTCTCCGGAAGGAAGGTACGGTTAGTCCTCGAACCCAAGGTTCACGTTGCGAAGTGAGCGACGTCGGGTTCAGTGAGTTTCGCCTCCGTTTGACGATCCTTCTCGCCCTCATTAAGTGAACCGTTCCAGTTGTTAAGTGAGCCACCCAGTCATTAATTGAATCTGGGCTTCCCTCATTCACTTTGCCGGGCGCCAGAAAGTCGCAAAAAGGGACCCCGGGACGCAGTCGTAAATACGAGTCTGTTTGCGGGGATGTCAATTTCACCGTCCGGTTCGCCTGAACCAGTCCAAAGCGGCTGAATCCCACCCATGGTTGTAACCTAGATAAATCGTGGTTTTTTAGGGATCCGCCGTGGTCTCAAACTAACCACAACGGACTCCCCGAAAAGAGACATCCGCACGCACACACACACACCCATTTCTCTTCCCCAGGTCGCAGAGGCCTCGGCCGCCCTGCCCTTCTCCGTGATGGAAGACCAGTCCCTTCCCGACGCGTTGTACGACCAACAACCGAGCGCGGCCTGGTGTCCGTTGTCGTCTTGCGGCAACCGAAGCGATGCCGGCTGCTTCGCGCAGTCGGTTGTGTTGCGAGGGATCGGCAAACGGCAACAAGTGAGGTGAGTCTGTTGGGTCTTTCGGTGGTTCGCATCCCCGCTCTTACAGGGTCTGTACGTGCGTTGCTTGGACGTTTGTGTGTTTTTGTGCATCTCTGTGTTTGTGTTTATATTTCTCTTGATTTGTAAGTGAGTTGACCACAGCTTCCTCACTGCCGTTTCTGAGCCTTATTTCTACTACTTTTTATAAAATCTTAACAAGGACCGATGCACAAACACAGACAGGACTCGGCTTACAATTGAGTCCCCGGATTCCTGCCGCTAAGCGAGACGATCGGTTGGCAGAAGCTGGGACGAGGAACGGGAGCTCGCTCTGTGACGCAGCGCTGGGGTTTCGAACCGCCAAACTGCTGACCTTTTCTGATCGACAAGCTCAGCGTCTTTAGCCCCTGAGCCACCGCGGTCCCTTACTTATAAATTGAGGGTAACTCCCTCCTGATTTCCCTTTCCAGCAACGCCCCTCCAGGAACCGAACCCAAGTCCATCCTTCACATGTGCGAGACCGGCCAGGAAGTGCTGGCCCGTTACTTACACACCGTCTCTCCTCGGACTCTGAGGTTGGTGCTCCAGGCAGCCTGGGCGAGAGGAAGAGGAGGAGGAGGAGGAAGGGGGTGATGATGGGGGGGGGCACGTTCCCCTTAAAAAAAAAAAAAAACCGTCCTTTTTTTTCCCCCAACAGCACTTCTCTTTTGCTGCAAAGACCCTGCAAGCTTTTGGCTCCGTACCCCCAATTTTTCTCGCCTTTCCTGAACAAGCACGGATTTCTGTCGGAGAAGCCATTGTACAGCCCAGCAAGTAAGGACACACACACACACACACACACGAACACACAGTGTGTGGCTTAAGAGCAGTTGTTTGCGCACCAAATTGGTTTCACCGGGAGCAATGTTTTTAACCGTGGCAATTTTTTTTAAAAAAGAGGTGGATTTCACCTCCCAGAATCCCCCAGCCGGCGTAATTTAAGAAGGGTGGACTTCAACTCCCAGAATCCCCCATCCAGCTTGGTTTAAGATAGCTGGACTTCAACTCCCAGAATGCCCCAGCCAGGATGCTTTAAGAGGGGTGGACTTCAACGCCCAGAATCCCCCAGCCAGGATGCTTTAAGAGGGGTGGA